AGTTTTATTTCGGGGTACAAATGGAACAAAGTTTGTCGAGGTAACGGATTGGTCAGATGTTTTGTCCTAAATCCATTAAACATCTTTGTGACCTCATTGGACGCTTGGACGTTAACTCCTTATCCCACAATACGACATTGCAGTGACTAGGAAATAGGAGAGTGACCTCCATAACGTCACCCGCAAACTGATCAACAGTAGGTCCCACAGAAGGATAGACTGTACCAATACTAGTGGTCCTATGTTGATTACTGTTTTTCGTATTTATTATGAGCAAAGCGACATTGGTCTATCTGCTGTGTCCACTACGGGGAAGCGAACCTCGGATTCTGATTCTAGCGTTGCAAATTCGTGGACTTGCCGCTGTCACACAGGGGGTAGTTCGTTACTGAGGGTATATTTTTGATAAACGTGACCCCTTGATACAAACTCCATTCTGCTGTACACTTTTGATGGCCAAACATTATTTATAACATTAAGTGACATGAACAGTGAAACAAGAGCTCAGAAAATAGCACCCCAATTATCCAGCATTCCATACCATACTTAACTGCTTTTTTTTTATATTACTTTTACACACATACTAACTCCTTGGTGGCTCAGCGCTAAGTCTGAGGGCTTATAATGCTAAAAATTGGGTTTCGATACCTGCGGTTGGCAGATCACATTGTGTAGGTTTGTACTTAATATCAAACAAACAAAAACACACACACATACTAGAGAAAGATGTTGGCGTGATTATCAAGGTTTAATACAACAGAAGTCACGAATGGTGTGACAAGTCATGAGTGAGTTATATGAAACTCTTCAGCTTACACCACGGTTTGTAGACGAGAAGAAAGGAACAGCGAAGGAAGAGTGGATTTTACTTTTTTTTCTCATTTTTTTTTCAAATCGAAATTGTCGTTAACGTCAATATTCGTTGTTTGCAGACTTTGTATTAAAAAATTACACTAGAGTAGATGAGTTTGTTGACTTTTTTTTTCTCTGTTTATTTACTCTTGCCTTTTCTTTTACGAAGAATGACCTTTTACGTTATCTGATTTTCTTTTTTGTACAAATTCTTTAAGCAGAAAATATTAATGTTAATTACTACCTTAACTTAAAACCAGCTCCCCCCCCTCCTCCAGTGGCACAGCAGTATGTCTGCGGACTTACAATGCTAAACAACTGAGTTTTGATATCCGTGGTGGGCAGAGCACAGATAGCCCATTGTGTAGCTTTGTGCTTAACTTCAAACAAACAAACTTGCCCGCCCCCCAGTGGCACAGCGGTATGTTTCCGGACTTACAATACTAGAAAACGGGTTTCGATACCCGTGGTGGGCAGAGCACAGATAGCCCATCGTGTAGCTTTGCGCTTAACTTCAAACAAACAAACAAACTTAAAAACCAAAGAGTCACAAAATAAAAGTTTTTAGTTTTTATCCAGTTCCCGATGGGACAGCGAACGTGTAAGTTCAGGTTTGTTGTTAAGCCCAAAGCTACGCAATGGGCTATCTGTACTCTGCCCACCACGATGTATCGAAACTCAGTTTTTTTAGCATTGTAAGCCTGCAGACTTACCGCTGAGCCATTGGGGGGGGGGGGCGCAAGTTTACGGGCTTACAGCGTTAGAATCTAGGGTTCGATTACCCATGGTAGACGCAGCAGATATCCCAATGTGACTTTGCTTTAAAACAAACACGTTTTTATTTCATTTAATCATCTCTTCAGTCTACCTGTGCTCAACAGTAGTAGTCACCTACAAACTGGAAGGTACATTTGTTGTTAGAATACACGAATTACAACCGAGTTTCTCTTACTAATTATCAAATATTTATTTATTTTTTCACTCATGGGAAAAGTGGTTTCTGAATAAAAAGCCAGTATTCAATTATTATATAAAAAGAAAAAAAAACAGCTTCGGTTAAATAATTCATTATTCAAGCCTGATAAATGCTTGGGACGAGTATCACGTGGTATATGAGCAGCAGTAAATATCAATAAAAATAGGAAAACGAAATTACAAAAAAAAAAAAACAGTTCAGTTTGCAACAGGCTAGTAATTCATTGTAATATTATCCAGTTTTTAGTATAAGTATGCATGTTTAACCAGAACCATTTTACAGCGCTTTTTTTTTTTACAACCAAAAATTTAAACTACACGTGTATCCTATACACCTTCTTAATTTTAGATAAAACTATATGCACAAAAAAATAAATAAAAAAATTCACGTATAACAGAAATTAAATTGTTAAACCCACGTGTGAAAATATATTGTTCCAGACAGGCATGTTCTGAAACAATCCCCTGAAGCTTTATTCATTTTAAGGGGGGGGTTAGTGTCCGTTACATAGGTAAGCGTCAAGTGCTGGAGAAGGGAGGGGGGGCACTGAATACGTTCGTAGTTGTTTAATCACTTATTTAGGCCTGGGCCTGTGGGTTCTAATCTGTTTGTAAACATATACTGCCACCATATATCAACTGACAAGAATGTTTATTGTGTGAACAGGAAACCACGTGTACGATAACGCTGTCATTGAGTGTCGAGATAGAAATATTCTATCCAGTCACACAAAGGCTAGCGATGTGATAGCACGGTAGTGGGAGTGAGTGTCGTACTGCAGTAGTAACTACTGGTGTGATATTCAGTTACACCGATATCCGACGGGTAGCTCAAAGTTTCTGCAATATGCCAAGTTCCGGCAATAGAATCCGGAGAACAAGTAACCACCACTGAACAAGTTAAAACATTTGTTTACTCGTAGATGCTTTTAACTTGCTGTTGGGGTGAAATGCTATAATGCACTTTTAACCCTGTCTACCACCCCGTGCGCAAAGATTCGCGAATTTTTGCGGCGGGCCATTCAAAATGTTTGCATCATACGATGTCAACCGCAGTTGAAGGGTTAGTTCAGACAAAGGGTCTTAGTGTGGTATCCTAAAATCCACAGATTACATATCTCAACGCCTGTTGTATAGCTCTGTGCTTTGGTGGGCACAACTAAGATAGCCCATTGTGTAGCTTGCTTCTTTGGTGGGCGAAGCTAAGATAGCCCATTGTATAGCTTAGTACTTAACAAACAAACAAATCGCATAGAAAATTATGAACTTAACAAAGGCTGAAAACAAACGTATTTGTGAGGAGAATGTTTTAAAAACTGCTGTTAGATGTGTTCTAAAATCGGTTCCTCATTCCGTGCACTTTACGGAAACTGTCAAATGTTTTTTTTTATTTATTATTTACATTATGACATTTAGGGACATATTACTCCGAGTTTCCAGTGTATAGTTTAATCGGTATTTACAGCTTCATAGTTGTTGTCTATATTTCTAATATAATTTCTTTCTAATTCTCACGACAACATTTCAAAACCAACACCTATAAACAACTTGAAGTTGTGTTTGCATTTTTATTTCTTGGATTTAAGACTCTGTGCGAAAGAAAATGTTATGTACATTTTCAGGTAAGTTGAAGATACACACTTGGAGCTTGATGTGCATACAGCATGGGGTTCCAGGTCACGTCCACAGTTTGAATAATTTATCTCGCTTCTTCTGTGGAACTGTTGACAGTGTCTGTGATTTTTCAACTTGCTCATAGTAATGCAACTTGGCTTTAAGCTGGCCATCAAGTAAGGACTGCATGTCATCCTGAGAACAAGAAGAGTTTTAATGTGCTGTAAACCTCGCCACGACTAGCGGCCAAATCTAGACTTTTAATGTGCTGTAAACTGTGCCATGACTAGTTGCCACATCTATACTTTTAATGTGCTGTAAACTGTGCCATGACTAGTGGCCAAATCTAGACTTTTAATGTGCTGTAAACCTCTGCCATGACTAGTGGTAATTCTAGACTTTTAATGTGCTGTAAACTGTGCCATGACTAGTGGTAATTCTAGACTTTTAATGTGCTGTAAACCTCTGCCATGACTAGTGGTAATTCTAGACTTTTAATGTGCTGTCAACTGTGCAGTGACTAATGGTAATTCTAGACTTTTAAGATGCTGTAAACTGTGCAGTGACTAGTGGTAATTCTAGACTTTTAATGTGCTGTAAACCTCTGCCATGACTAGTGGTAATTCTAGATTTTTAATGTGCTGTAAACCTCTGCCATGACTAGTGGTAATTCTAGACTTTTAATGTGCTGTAAACTGTGCCATGACTAGTGGTAATTCTAGACTTTTAATATGCTGTAAACCTCTGCCATGACTAGTGGTAATTCTAGACTTTTAATGTGCTGTCAACTGTGCAGTGACTAATGGTAATTCTAGACTTTTAAGATGCTGTAAACTGTGCAGTGACTAGTGGTAATTCTAGACTTTTAATGTGCTGTAAACCTCTGCCATGACTAGTGGTAATTCTAGACTTTTAAGATGCTGTAAACTGTGCCATGACTAGTGGTAATTCTAGACTTTTAATGTGCTGTAAACCTCTGCCATGACTAGTGGTAATTCTAGACTTTTAAGGTGCTGTAAACTCTGCCATGGTCAATGGACAAATCTAGACCTCTAATGTACTGTAAATTGTGACATGACTAGTGGGCTAACCATATTTCGTATCTTCAATCTTGTTCTTATTTGAAGCATAAATATGAGTATATATTCTGTCCTTTTAACAATTGATAAAAAATAACATATGTGACTCTAATGGAGAAAACCAAATCTTCTATTTTCATCCCTTTTCGTTGTTTTGTGAATATAATAACTGAATGTAATTGTTAATACGTAAGCTGAACTAAATTAAACAAGAAAGTATTATTTTTGGCTCCTTCTGGTGGTTATTATTTTTTGCTTTATAGCCTTGAAACACAAATTTAAAATAAATTCAAAATAAACCAATCTCAAGGCACAGAAGAAAATTAAGGTCCACTATTACGTAATAACGGGTCTTAACTTTATTTTAGATTACTTTACACCGTATTATGTATTTATTTGCCATTAAAGTCGTTTTAGATTTTGATGTGTGGTGCCACCTGGTGGCCAAAATACCATATTACTTCCTGCTCATTCTTCTTTAAGCTAAAAATACTTTTGAATAACCAAATTCAGTTGGTACACAAATATTCCAATATTTATTAACATAAGCCATACATGTTTTAATTTTTGTTATGAATTGCCCTCTGGTGGCACCACCAATATAGCTTTAAATTGATTAGTTTTTCTTATTTAAATAATTAATTCAGGTTCGACATTTGAATAATTTAACAATCATTTTAACTAGTCTGACTTTTTTACTGATTATAGAAACACCTTTTGCAGCTGACTGTTGCCCTACGACTATAACGCCCTCTACGTACAATTAAAAATTAATACGAGTATATTCAGCCACGTACGTTATTATGGATTTCTTCCAAACGTATTACAAGTCAGGCTATTTTTTTTTCTCTTTCTACTCTGATGGTAACACACTTACCTGCCACTGCTCCACCTGTTGGGATAATTCCACTTTTTGCTTGATAGCTTCCATTAGTTGGCTGCTTATGTGCATTGCATCTATCCGTGTTTTGGCCAGCTCAATTTCGACAGCATTCTTTCTGAAGAAACACACAAAAACACAACCTTCGTCTCTAGTGTATAGCATATAAAGATAGTTTTTAAAAAAAAACTAAAACTATCACACAAAATACAAATTAAGCTCTTAGGAACTAGTTTAAAATTCAAAGTGATGCACTCAAATCTGATCGATACTGAGTATGTTAATGACCAATCAATATTTGAAGATTTAACTTTACAGACAGGTTTGTTTTGCAGTTATGCACAAAGATACACTATGGGCTATCTGTACTCTGCCCATCACAGGTATCGAAACCCGGTTTCTAGCGTTATAATTCCCAGACATACCTCTGTGCCACGTGGGGGGGGGGGGGGCAAAAGTTAGGTTCTCGGTTACAGTAATGTAGTACATATTTCTGGAAGTATGAAATTATTTTCAGATCAGAAGTGTAGTGGGGCGCCACTCCTTTATCATATCTACTCAAATGTTGATATAGTACTTTACAGGATTGAACACGTATGTTCAAGATGTTACATAAGTTACAGATAATATATCAATAATTTTTTTATGACCCGTATATGACAATTGATTATACGAACCTACCTGATAATTATAATGAAAATTAACTGTCTGAAATACAGTCTATCTGTGAGGTAATGTTCCTTCATTTATTTCTTAATTAATTAAATGCGTCAAATACAGCCTTGCTGTGATGTGGTATTCCGTCATTTTTATGTTAATTATTATTATATTCATATCTGACGCACTCTTCCCTTTGTCGATTGGTTGAACTGTCTGTTAATTTTGTTTGCACAAGAGGCCCGCTCATACCGCGTTAATTAAAACATTATTTTATAGCGAGACAAAATTACTGACACTGGATGGCGCCACGGTAACTATAGCATAAATAAACCAGTACGTTACTCTACTAAATACGTTGATCGGATGTTTTGTCAATAACCAATAATTGATTTGCGTTGAGTTTTGTTCTCATCTGGAAACAAATAAAAGCTAACTGAAGTCTAATAGGTCAGACGCTTAATAAAGTCCAGTTTTGGACTGGATATTGCGTTATTAAGTAGGTTTTGTAATGATATATGAAGTTGAGTATTTTTTTTTCTAGATATTTTCCCTCACTTCTTGTGTCCAAGTTATGTTATTGAGTTAAAAGTCAGTTGTGTCGTTTGTAAAGTTCGGGCCCGGCATTTTCAAACTGTGATTATATTTCCCGTAATTTCATAGGATTTACTTGGCGCTCCAGCACAAATAATAATAACAAGAAACTACGACACCAAGTGCTTTAGATAAAATAGAGATGGCATAGTACTAAGTTTTTAATACAAAAGTAATGTAAAAAAGTCACCTCGATACTGCCTTGTCTCTTACGTCACAAGCTTTCTTCACTACTTCATCTTTTCCCATTCCCGTGTTTCCCATATCATCTCGAAGACAGTCTCGTTCCTCTTTCAAAGCAGTTAACTCAGCTTCTTGAACAGATATCTGAAATCACCCCCCCCCCAATAAGAAATATTAGTGTGTGTGGACATAAATAATAATATACCTAAACTGATGTCAAACAATATATAATCAAGAATTGTAATAAACTACTAGTTATTTAAGCCTATTTAGTGTTTATTATAGCTTTAATACTGTTGCATATTGTGACGTGTAAATACTGTGTATTTCGCCATTTTGTTATTTTAAAATGCAATATATCGTTCTTCGCATGTATTGGGGGTAAACTTCTTCTTCACCACCAGTTCTGGAAAAAAAAGAATAATATTTCTGCCGGCAAAGGGAGAACAAAAGGTATATTATCTTGAGGTGAAAGCTACTAAAAAACAAAGGATGGAATATCAGAGTTCTGTCAGATTTCTACTAGATCTCGTCCGTCACACTACACAGATAACCTTCATTATAGTCTGACTTTAAGACTGCGCCAGGTAACACAGTAACACGGCTTTTGAAACCAGGTGTATAGAACTGAAGAAAATGTCCTAAATAAAAAACGAATAGTTCGAGTCTAAACTAGTTTTAGAGGTCAATAATTAATTAAGGTCAAACGTGTTTTATATATGGGAAAGAGTTTTCGTTCCTTCTGTCCACTATTCACACCATCTGTGCCGTGTTAGGAAAAGTTTAAAATCCGTCCGTTAAACTGAGTTTAAAGGGCATTGCTAGTTACACCAGATTCAAGACTTTTTGGATACTATTTCTCTAACTGAGCACAGGCTGTTGAATCGTGCAAGTCAATGCCAAACACTTCTTTAGCCAAAGGCTTTTACAACTGGCAGGTCTATCAACTGAATCATCAAATTACATATGTAACAAAAGTTGTTTACAACGCTATGAGTGCAATAGACGAGAAAAGGCTTTTACAATCATCTACCATCAGGTAATCAGACTAGATCACAAT